GTGCACCGGGCTGGGCTGGGGACAACGCTCCTCGCACCTGCTCTCCTGGCTGGTGGGAAAACGTAGTGGTAGACATCAACCCTGGCTTCTCCTTTGCTTGGAGAGGGCTCCCACTGGAGAGAGGTGCCCTGACAGAGCCTGGCCAGCCCCCTGCGCATCCCCACTGCTCCCCCAGCCTGTGCTGGCCCCTGCTCAGCAGATGAGCCCAGGCAGTGCACAGAAGAGGACAGTGTCCAAATCAGCAGGACCGTCTCATGGCCACAGCCTGCCTGTCCTTGGCCTGCTGGCTGCTTCTTCATGGCCCTCCCAGTTTCCAGACTGGAAGGAGAGGAGCTGGCTGGTCCCTGGGAGAAGGAGCATCCCTCTAATCCCTGCCAGCCTAGAGGGAAGGGAAGTGCGAGGGGAATCTCAGCCCAGCTCTTCCTGGGAGAAACAACCCCAGCACAAGTGGGAAGCTGGCAGTTTCTCTCTCAGCCTGGGCTGGCTGTGCCCTTGCCAGCCCTGCACCTGCCTGTGCTGGCAGGGGGTTTCTGTGCCACCCACCAGCCCCCTGTCCCAAATCCCTGTGTCCCACCAGCCAAAGAGCCCCCGTGGTGGCAGGCACGGCCACACTGACCATATCCTCACTCCGAGAGCAATAGCTGACCCCAGGGCCGGCGCCTCCTCCCTCCAAAGCACACGGGCCCTGCCCTGGCCCCAGAAGCACACGATGGGCATGTGGCCAAGCTGGGCCCCACTCATGCCCAGCAAGGCCGGGAGTGCCAGTGCTGGCTCCCCTAGGAGGTGACCCTGTGCTTGGCACCGTCCTTGTCTCTGTCCCAGCGTGGGACAGCCCTGCCCCTACCTCCCGGGAGATGCTGTGAGGCTGAGTGAATGTCCCTAAAGCACTTTCAGTTCTCCAGTGAAAGGCAACGCTGCTGCTCACCTGCCGTGCACAGCCCTCCGATCCCATCCCAGTTAGGAGCTTCCAGGAAGTTACTGATGATCCCCAAAATCAAAGGTGTCCTCAGCAGCCTGGACAATCAGGGGGCAGGTGCACCCACAGCCTGCAGAGTGCCAGGCTCTGGAGGGACCCCGAGGCCATAGCTCTGCATTTCACTGTGCTCAGACAGCCCAAGCATGACCTGTCTGGGACTGTCCCCGCGGCGCTCTGGGTGCCCAGCACGCTGCTGTACATAGAGAGAGTTGCATCCCAAAAGGACCTTTCTCTGGAGGAACACCCCACCCTGATCTATGCAATCCAGGGGGCAGCTCACCCCAGTCGCATTGGCCGCCTGCGATTCCCTTTGGTGCTGCAGCTGGAGCAGTGGTGGCAGCAGAAGAACCAACATGACACTGAGCTCTGTCCCATCCCCTGGCCCAGAGTGCTGGCTCAGACCTCTGCTGTGACTCCCATTCCCTCCCAGCCCTCGGGAAGAGGCGGCTTGGTGAGTGCACCTGGGAATCCACACGCACAAGCACACATATCTGACGTCTTGGCCACAAGCAGCGCCTGGATTTCAGAAGGATTTTGCCCAGCGTGCTCCACCGATGCTCAGGAAGGGGCCAAAGGGTGACTCAGATGGCTGAAACATATCTGCTTCCCAGGGCTGGAGCCTTGGCAAGGGCAGGAAAGCTGCAGGAAGGAGCTCACACCTGCAGGCTCTGTGGGCAGCACCAACCGTGGAGCCACCACTGTGCTCCTGCCACGGGGACAGGAGAGTGAGGGAGCCCCTGGGTGTGAATTCACCTGCTCAGGGCACCCCTTCCCCAGGGAAGGAGGAGAGTGGGGAGAGGGCACCAGGAGAGGAGTGAGCAGCTGTACGTGGAGACAATGGAAAGGTCTTGCAGCAGTGGTGGGATGTGTGAGGGAAGCAAGGCTCCCAGCAGAAACGGCTTTGCCAGGGATAGGGAGATAGTCCCACAGCCCAGGGGACACAGAGGGACCCCACACCCCAGGGGACAGGAGCCTGTGCTGGTGGGGCCCCAGGGGACAGGAGATGCTGTCCCTGTTCCCCAGTGCCAAGCAGCCCATGGCTGGCACATCCCCAGCCACCCCTGCCCATGTCACTGTGCCCTTCCCAGACCCTTGGGGTCACCCCCAGTCCAGCCACCACAGCAGGACAGTGGGTCCCCTCCTGTGCCATGAGCCCCTGGTGCTGTGCCCAGCCTCTCAGAAGCTCGGGGAGCCTGGAGCAGCTGGGCTGCAGTTTGCAGAGCCACGTGGCACCAGTGGGCCTGTTCCCCTCCATTGTCCCAAAAAGCCTGTGCTGGAGCCATGGCTGCTCCTTGCCCCGCACCAGTGGAGTCCTGGCGCACTCCTGTTCTTGGCACTTTAACCCTGTGAAAGCCATTCCTTCTAGTGACAATAATTACTGCAACGAGCTGCATAAGAACCCCCCGTTATGGCATCCCCCCAAATCCCTTCCTGCTCTCCAAAGCATTTACTGCCTTTGACTTAGCACATGCTGTACTAGGAGTAGGGATAGTCCATAGCGCTCGGTAACGTGTGCCCCTCTGTAAATAACCTTGGAGTGATGTGAAATTTGATTCAAAACACCAGAAAAAAAAACAACAAACCAAACCCAAAATGGAATATCCAGACTCTAGGGACTTGGCCAGTACCCTCCTGTAATGTTCATTGTATATTTTTTTGATGTACTATAACTGTTGGAAAAAAAAAAAAGGAAAATATTTTGATAACCGAATCTCATCGCTTTATTGTGTTACTCGGTAAATAAAAGGAACAAGTATAAACACACTGGAGCTTTTAATCAGTTCTTTTCCTACATCCAGACTACCTGAAGGGAACAAGTGTTGCTGGGTAGGGCTGGGACACCTGTGCCTTGTTTTTTGGTGGTTCTGAGAAGAGGCAGCATTGTGACAGGTGGGCAGTGAGAGCTGCCACAGCCCAAAGCACCTGGGCTGTGCAGGGTAAGTACAGTCCCAGCTCCTCCAAGGATCGAGGTATGCAGGTGAAGCACAACCCCATCTCCTCCAAGCTCATGGCTGAGGCTGCACTCAGGAAGAGGAGGGCTGGAATGGTGCATTTGGGCACCCTGTCCTCAGGAGCAGCACCTGCCCTGCTCTAGGCATTCCCTGGGGCAGCATGTCTGGATATTCCAGTGCATAAAGGAGCAGTGGACACTGCCAGGGAGCAGCACAGAGCCAGCTGGGGCAGGGCAAGGAGAGCTGCTTGGCTGGAGGCAGGGCCAGCAAACAGGCCCTGCCCACATGTTGTCAGGAAATAGAAAAAGAGGGAGTTGCTCCCTCCAGATGTTGGAGCTGATGCCCACGCTCCAGCCAGCCTGTGCTGTGCCCCTGTTCCACTCTCCCAGCCTGCACCTGAGAGCAGAGGGGGTCACTGAGTGAATCCTGACCTTCCTGTAGCACCTCTGACAGCAGCAGGGGCTGGGCAGGGAGAGCAGTGGCTCCTGTCCCACTGCCTCTCTCGTCCGCCATCATCCCTAGCCCTGGGATGAGTGTTCCTCCTGGCCAGCTGCTTCCCACAGGCTCCGTGGCACCAGGCAGGACTCAGCAGGAGGTGTGTGTGAGGGAAGCAGGAAGGTGAGGAAGAGGAGGTGGCAATGGAAGGGGAGGGGAAGCAAGCTCATCCATCCATGGACCCACTGCCCTTGTTCTTGCGGCTCAGGGGAAAGGCAGACTTGCTCTGTGGCTGGGTCATCTTGCTGGCCAGGTAGATGAAGGGCTCGATCAGCGTGCGCCGGTCAGCCACGGACACCTCCCACAGCTTCACCTTCTCGCCCTTGGCCCAGTGCTGGGCTGCATCGTGGTCCACCCGCCGCTGCTCCTGCAGGTCACACTTGTTGCCCAAAACCACAATGGTGACCTGTTCCAAAAGGGTGAGAAGGGCCCTTGATGACCAAGCACAGAGCTGCAGGGCTGGCTCGCTCTGCCCTCAGTGGTGGGCTTGGATCTGCCACTGATTCCATGTCAAGGCCTTTTGAAACCCAATGACCTCAGTGCTCCCTTCCCCTCCTGCTGGGGTCTGTGTGTCCCAAACCAGCCCCAAAACAGAAGGAGCCTTTGAGCACCTGTATGCTCAGAGAGCATCCCAGGAGACAGCCTGTTACTGCTGGGAGTCCCAAACATCAGGGACCCATCAGAATCTTGTGAAACCAAAGACGACAACCTGCCCCAGGGGAGCAGATCCCACTCTCCCGTGGGGACTCACCTCCTTCTTGTCCTTGGACTTGTCGATCTCCTTCTTGAGCAGCTCGACACGCTTGAAGGACTCCTTGCTGTCGGTGCTGTAGACCAGCACGTAGCCGTCGGTGCAGGAGAAGCAGTGCTTGGGCAGCTCCAGCCCGTCGCGCAGCCCCCGCGTGTCGTAGAAGCGCACCTGCTCCCTCACGCCGCGGTCGGTCTCGATGGAGCCCACGTAAATGTCCTCCTGCGT